GCCCCTCCACTCTGCCAAATATGATGTCCCTCTCCAAGGACCAGTCCCTCCTTACAACATGCCCAAAATATGTCAGACGAAGCTTCAGAATCCTTGACTCCAAAGAGCCTTCCAGCTTCACCCTCTCCAGGACACACGTGTTTGTTCTCCTGGCAGTCCATGGTATATTCAAAACTCTTCTCTATCAGCACAACTCAAAAGGCACCAATTCTCTTTCTATCAACCCTATTCACTGTCCAACTCTCTGACACATAGCACGTAATTGCAAAGACTATAGCCCGGATCAGGTGCACCTTAGTCTCCAGTCTGACGTTGTTGCTCTTCGTTACTCTTGAGAGGTCCCTCACAGCCGACTTTGCCAATGCAATTCGTCTCTTGATTTCCTGGCTGCTATTACCAAGAGTGTTGATTGTGGAGCCAAGTAAACTAAAACTGTTAACTATCTCAATCTCTTCATATTAAGAACTTTAAATTGAAGTCATATTGACTGCATCATAAGAGATTCACAGCAGCACGATATGTTCAGAAATCCTAATGGTTTGAGACTTAGGCCATCACATCAGGGGCTGGTCAATGGGAGACGGGTATTGAATGGTGTAGGCAAAAGGAGGAAGGGATGGTGGTGGAGTAAGGAAGCGTGGGTAGGCAGCAACATTGAATCTATTGGTCATTGTTATAACTGGACAGTTGTCTTTCATCTGCTCTTTTCTGTGGAATGCTTGTCTGTCAGATACTATCATATGTATTTAAAGATTGAGACAGACTAGGAAGAAGGATTGGCCATCCACTTCCAAAAAGACAGGCCTTCGAAAACCCTATGCACAGTTGAGCACACTTAGACTACCGCTTGGACTAGCAGAGATGGCAATGGAGACTGAGATCTTAGAAACGAGAATACAGAGAAGAAGGAACAGCTAGCTGTAAGCAGACACTAGTGATTGGAACACGAAACGTGAGAAGCATGAATGTAGGAAAATTGAACATTGTTAAAGAAATGGAACGCATAAATATTGACATACTAGGTATAGGCGAAATGAGATGGCTTGGCAGGGGACATTTTGAATCAGACGATTATATGATTTGCTATGCCAGGGATGAAAAGGTGAGGAAGAATGGGGTTGGTTTCATAAATAAAAAAGTAATTTTTAGATCCATCCTGATATACAATGTGGTGAGCGACAGGGTAATATCCATACACATAAAAGGAAGTACAGTGAATACCACTATCATTCAAATACATGCACCAACAACTAGAGTCAAAGAGGAGGAAATAGAAGATTTCTACCAACTTTTGCAGTCAGAAGTTGATCAAACATGCAATCAAGATGCATTGATAATAATGGGCGACTGGAACGCAAAAGTTGGGAACAGAGAAGAAGGATCAGTAGCTGGAAAATACGGGCTCAGTGAGAGAAATGAGGCTGGAGATAGAATGATAGAGTTCTGCACATTCAATGATTTATTCATTGCAAATGCCTTTTATAAGAAATATAAACACAGGCTATACACATGGATTTCACCTGATGGCATGCATAGGAATCAAATAGATTATATTTGTGGAAAGACTCGGTAGAGAAGCTCAATATCAGCAGTGAAAACCAGGCCGGGTGCTGATTGTGGGACAGACCACCAACTACTCATATGCAAGTTCAAGCTGAAGTTGAGGAAAATTAAATCAAGTCCACGGGAACCAAAATTTGATCTTACGTCTATCCCACTCGAATTTCAAAACCATCTCAGGAACAGGTTTGAGGTCTTGAGCACCAATGAGAAAAATGAACTGATTAAGATGTGATAAATGGAGAAGAGATTAAGATTGTTAACAATTCCAGCTTGCTCGGCTCCACAATCAACACTCTTGGCACCAGCAGTCATGAAATCAAAAGACGAATTGCATTGGAAAAGTCTGCTGTCAGGGACCTTTCTAAAGTGCTAAAGAGTAATGATGTCAGTCTAGGGACTAAGATGCACCTGATTCAGGCCATGAGCTTCGTGATTACTTGCTATGTATGCATCAGAGAGCTGGACAACAACTAAGGATGACAGAAGAATCGATGCCTTTGAGTTATGGTGCTGGAAAAGAGCATTGAACATACTAAAGTTGCTAAGAGAACAAACAGGTCTGTCTTGGAGAAGGTGAAACCAAGTTTCTCCATTGAGGCAATAATTTTGTCTCATATACTTTGGGCACATGGCCAGGAGTGACCAGTCCTTAGAGAAGAATATCCTGCTTGGAAAGATGGAGGGATAACATAGGAGAAGACGACCTGAATGAGACTGAGTGACACAATAACTGGGTAATAGGGGTAGATGTGTCAGAGTCAGTGAGAGACTGGCTCAGGTTAGAAAAGGGTCCAGAGCTATTGAGTCACAGGCAACTCAATGGCACCAAACAACAACAATGTGTGTCTTTTGGCAAGTGGGGATAGGGATGAGAATAAGATGACAAAGAGATGACACAATAGAAGGATTTTTTGTAAAAATGCTGAGATCCTACATGAATAAAAGTTAAATCTAAAAACTAGCTGCAAAGGCTGAATCTGGAGCAGTTGGGAAGGAGATAAAGGGCATGACTTGAAGATGATGCAGGGTCATAGAACAGTTTTGGCAAAGTCAAAGTAAGCTGTGCACAAAGCAGTAGAGCCAGCCCCCAAATATGCCGCAGTCATACGGATATATGGGTGCATGCCAAGGGCAGTTTTGCCTATTAATCGAAGGAGAATAAGTAATTCCATGTGGTGAGACACTTCTCAGCCAAATCAGCAGATTCTACTTGCTTGAAACAGAACTCTCTGCCAAACTCTCCTAATATACTGGCTGGACATTCAGACTGGAAACAAGAAACTCAAAAATAATGAGAAGGCCCGTAGTGGGAGGTGGGGAGAATGATGGACACACTCCACAGAGTCTGCAGCCTAACCAATCGCTCTTTGTTTGCACCATCCCCTTATAGGGAAATGAAAAAGTTTTCATAAAATTATCAGATTAAATATCAAACTAGAGGTTCTCCAGGTAACACACACAAGAAAAGGTATGTTCCTCTGCAAGTTTAATAAACTTCTCTCCATTTACAAGAAATAGGCTTCAAACTTAGGGTTACCCCTCCTGGCTACTCCTATACACAAAGGCAAAGACCTTCCATGGTCTCCTGTTGACAAGGCCCTGGAGTAGCATGACCATCATATAGTAGCAGTTCTATCATATAGTTCCATTAAATCTAGGAATTAAACTAGGGGGGAAATCTATTCCCTCTTCCTGAGTTTCAGAATCACACCCATTTGCACTCCTATTACCTACTTAGCAGAATACACAGAGAGAGAGGGAAATTGATAGTAAATTAATGCTTGGACATACAGCAAAATAGAACTGAAAATCTGTTTTCATAGTAATTTAGGGGCTTACATAATCAGTATTTAAGAGTGCACGATTACAAAACATCTTCTTCCCAAGATATCAAACCAACGAAGCAGATTTATTTCTACTAACTATTTGCTAAGTAGTACCCTTTATGTACCAGGCAAAATATCTCATTTAATCTACATCATAATCCTGAGGGAACTAAAACTTATTGAGTTGTAGTCACTTCCGCAGGGACATTGGCTGGTAAATGATAGAGAATTAATCTAAAATTTAATCCAGAACTGTCTGGTTTCAAAATGTGTGTGCTCTTTTCATTAACCACAAAACTCACTACCATTGAGTTTGGTTCCAATTTACAGCAGCCTTCCAGAGGGTTTCTGAGGCTTTAATAGGGAAGAGACTATTTGTTTCCTGTCTAGTGGTTGGTGGATTTGAACCACCAACCTTTCAGTTATCAGAGCAAAACAGTATAAGACTACTCCATCAGGCCTCCTTTTTAGTACATTTCTTCCTTCCTTTTCTTTTTTCATTATAACTATCTAAGAAAAGTCTTGCACTCTCTCTCTGTATTGTTAAACTGGAAGTTAAAGACACAGTTACATATAGATCAACAAGGACTGGCCAAGAACACAGAATTCCAGATCTCAATTCTGTATTATAGATCCCTCACTATTACTTGTTATTTACAATATAAATTTGAAACTTGAACTTAGAGGGGAAATTCTACACTAGTTAAAAACAACAAGCAAAATCCTCATATTCCTTCAGAAACCCTAGAAACTAGGTATCTTCAAGACGAAGATTTTTAAGTGGAAACAGGGTTTCTGCCTGGCCTGTGTACACAGAATTTAACGTTGAGGAAGCCAAGGTCTGGGATTTTTTTTTTTTTCTGTCTCCTCAGTTGCTGGCCAGGGGCCAGGAAAACAGAGCTAGACAGACAGAGAGGCCCAAGTAGAGAGGGTTCATACTATAAAAGACACTAAAGTACGAAGTCACAGGAATCTGGTGTAGGCTTGATAGTATAGACCTTAGATTTAAAGGTACAACTACTACAGAAGAGATTTGTGAAAGCAGGAGAGTAATCTAATCGCCCACAAAATGTGAAGCTATATTGGAAATTTCGGCGTGAAGTAAGAAAAGAATGGGGGGGGGAGGGAATCAACATTAGAGATGGAGTAAATGTCCAAGAATTGTTAAGTTCACAGCTGGTACAATAACAGCTGGTAAGGACAAGAATGCGCTGTATCTGAGACACAGGATCTACAACAAAGGGAAACAGAACCTTCCCCAAAGATAGGGAGATTTTAAAGCATTAAGCGACAGAAGTCTTCTATTTCTGAAGAAAAAAAGATGAGGAAGAAAAGAGGGTTGTATCGGGGGGAGAGTAAAAGAAACCTTGGAGAATATAGTAGTAACTCAATTAGAGGGGGAGGAGACTTAAACGTGTGTGGAGAGGGACAGAGACAGAGACAGAGAAGGCAGAGTGTCTGTGTGTTAAGAAAGAGAGAGAAGTCAGAAGGAAACTCCCCAAAAGGAAATGCATGCGAGGGATCGGCGCCAGGAAAAGCGATCCAGTGGACTGCAGGAGCGAGCTTCTCATAAGGAGGGGGGTCCCGCAGAGGCCAGAGCCGCAGACTCACCTCGGCCGTAGCCCTGCGTGTGCTTGGCGAAGCTCCTCACCACTGCCTCCACGGCCTCTCGCAGCACTGCGGGGCTGCCGGTGGAGCCGGGGGGCAGGGGCAGCCCAGCGCCCCCCGACAGGAGCAGCGGGGGCGGGGCGGGGGGCGGCGGGGCCGGTGGGGGACCCGCGGGGGGTGTGGTGGCCGCGGCCGCAGCCCCCGTCACTCCTGGCCGCAGCGCTCGCAGAGTGCCCCTCCCACCGGTGCCCACTCCCGGCTGCAGTCGCTGCGCTCGCATCGTCTCCATCGCGGCCGCCGGCGGAGCAGCGGCCCGCAGCCTGCCAGCCTGGCGAGTTAACGGTCTCACCACCCCAGTCAGCGAGGGGACCGAGGGCGGTGCCGCGGCCCAGGCATCAGTCAAGCCGGGGCGGGGATAAGCCAGGTTCTGTGCGGATCACTGGAAGAGAGGCGGGAGCTGGCAGGGTGCAGCTCTCCCATAGGCAAATTACTGAGGAGGGCGGAGGTTCTGAGCAGCCAATTGCAAAAAGAAAAAGTGGTAGTCTCCTTAAGAGAGAAGCATAGCTAGGGTGCTTCTCGAGACATCCCAGGGTGAGTACAAGGAAGGGTGTGTGTGTGTGGGGGGGCGGTTAATCGTAAGGTCGCACAATTTGATGGGTGCAGGGAGGGGTGGATAGAAGAAAGGGGAAAGACAATGTATACAAACTTTGCAAGTAAACCAGTACAAAATAAAAATTTTATTTTAAAAAGGGCAGCCGCTATGCAATGTACTTTGCTGCATTTTCTTAATAATAATCACAATCACTAACTAGATTATTATGTGATGGATAAGAAAACTGGCATTCAGAAAGGCCAAATTGCCCCAAATTAAATAAGTAGGATATAGCAAAGGATTCAGACATAGATCTTATTCCTAGTATTTTGATCTGTTTGTCACATTATTGTATAATTTTCTCCTTTAACCTGTTCTAAGGACCCCTAATGGCAAAGTAGTTTAGCTCTATGCTCCTAACTGAAAGTTGGAACTCATCATCTGAGGTAAAAGGATCTAGCAATCTACTTCCGCACTCTGAACAGAGTGAAGGGAAAAGTAGAACAGAACTCAAAATCATATAAAAAGGCTAGTCATCTTTTAAACTTGGAACGGAATTCACTCCTGTGGCTTAACTAACTTTCAGGAAAACAATAGATGATCCTACAGGGTGACTAGTAACACCAGCAAGGGACTAACTGTAAGGGTGAAGGAGGAGTACTTTCCCAAGTGGTAAAGCCTTAACAGCAGGAATAGCTAATATAGGACAATGGAAGTGAGAATTCCAGGGAGGATGCAGGGAAAGTGCAATTAAATTGTAAGTATTGTGATTAATCTATAATACAGAATGTACCTGAGTGATTGAGTGAGCAACCAATCTGCTTTATAAACTTTCACTCAAATAATAATTTAAAAAAATACAGCCAGGGAAACTTTGTGGAACACTATCCTATAGAATTGTGAAGAATAAGAATCAGCCTGTCAGTAATGAGTTTTAAAAGGAGATAATAAGAAAGAATAGAATGAACAATTTTCCCCCTCCTTTATTGTTGTCATGGCTATCCCTACAGTGGGTTTTCAGAGACTGCAAATTGAGTGGGAGGAGACAGCCCATCATTCTCCCTTGGAGCAGTTGGTGGATTCAAGTCATGTGCCTTTGGGTTGGCAGTACAACTCCTTACTACTCTGACATCACAGTGACCTCTACTTCCCATTAGGATGAGAAATAATTAGAATATATGCCACCAAATACCAAACAAACAAAAGTTAGCACTGAGGGGTGCAAGAGTAGATTAAGACAGGTACCCTTGCTTATAGAATCTGTCAGGCTGGATTCCCTCTGATTGCTCTTACATTCACCTCCACTCCATCTTTTGTCAGCTGACCAGCCTGTCATTTTTTACCTAAGCAAGGTTATGCTAACTCCTTTCTCTCTACATCCTACAGTGACTCAGAAATCAAGGAATGTAAAATAAAGGAAAAAGTAGAAGAGAGTAGGTAAGATACCCTGGTGAAATAGGAATTAGCTCACAAGGGAAAACTAAGTGGCTGAAAAACAGGGAACAGTTAATCTGCTGGCACATAGCTGCTGTGTGTGTGTGTGTGCGATAGAAATGCACCTAAATTTAAGAGTTTAAGGGTGAACATTAGAGAGACTGAGGGATAGGAAAATCTATCAAATGCTTAAAACCTTTAAGATATTTTTTCTTCCACAACCACAATTAGTTGGTCTCCAGGAAAAAAAGTGGTTGGAGCCTCAAAGCATCATTCCTAGATCGTTTTAGCGACAGTCAGTACCATCCTCCCTTCCCATTCCTTTCCCCTCTCTCTCTCTCCCACCACACACACACACATACACACACACACACACCACTCAGGCAGAAGAGTGACAAAACAGAGACTTCTGAATACATTTATTTGATATGTCAAGTGGAGAGAGGAGTAATTTTGAGTTACTCCCCACTTCTACCTGTAGGAGTGTTCATAAGCTCAGACAGAACAGAAGAGCAGCTTAGAGCCCATGACCCAACCCCTAGAAAAAAATGAGACAACCTGCTGTCATGAATTGGTTGGTGAACAGGGTAGGGATAAAACGCAGGAAGTTGAGAAGGAAGGCTGAAAGGATGAAGGGTAGCAGCAGCAAAACTGAGGCTGGAGGTTGCTGCAGAAAACCCCCAAGAAAAGTGAAGAAAATATCCTGCAAAGTGAAACTGGAAGCAGAGCGTGAACAAGGGCCTGCCTGGAGAAAGAAGCAAGGCCTGTAAACAGGGTAGGACATTCATGAAGAGGATAGAGTGTGCAAATATGTGACAGAGCTTTGTGTTGTAGGGCACACATGGAAAGCAAAGGATTGCTGTTTAGGGGAAATTTTTAGCAGGAGGGAAAAGATCAGGGACTACCCCAAAGTTGGGGTGCCCCAACTGCTTCTGAACAAATGCAGTGGGTTTGGGGCTCGTTGGAGCCCTAGCACAAGTGACCCTGTGTATTTATTGGTGTATCATGCCTGTGGGCTCACACGTAATCCCACGTGCATATGTAAATTGAGCAGGGCATGAATGCACACATGTGTCTGTATGCCCAATAAATAAAGAATGTAACCTTCCCTGCAAATAAGAGTAGTACTGTGCTTGTGGACACGTTTACTCATGTATGTATGCCTCGACTGTGCCCATGAGCACATGCAACAGATCCCTATGTCCGTGGTATGTATGTAAGCCGATTCCCCCGACTGTCTCTTCACCGCCGCCCAGATGCCCACTCTCCCTGGCTCCTTTCTCAGCGCCCGGGCTCCCCCGGCCCGCCTAGACTCTGGAAGCCCCCTAACAGGCGGATTTGCTCAGTTTGCATGGAATGGCGCCTCACCAACTTTCGCTTGGTCCTAGGAGAGCCTGGCGCCCCCGCTTGGGGCGGGGCAGGCAACGAAGGCGCCCGACCTCCGGGTTGGGGACGAATGTCAGGGATGGGAGGGTGCGGACTGACGTTGAGTGGGGGAAGAAAACCAGGCCGCGTTTGAGCAATGTGATCCAGGAGCAACGTCCCCGAGCCCCTCCGCTCCAGCAGCCCAGGACTCCGTCTCCGCCCGCTCAGCGGAGACACCGCCCCCGGCAAACTCTCCTGGGACTGGCGCGGGGAGGGCACCGAGCCGGCTGGAGGGAGGGTCAGCGGGGAGGCGCTGTACCGGCGGCGCTCCAGGGACAGACGACTAGCCTCTGGCGAGTCGGGGCAAAGATGTCCGGGAGTGTCGAGCTCCACTGGCTCCATGCGGCTCAGTTTCTGCCTCAGCCCGGAAGGGGGTCCGGACTCCTGAGCCTCTGGCGCGGTGTTTCGCCTGGAGAGCGCCCCTCCACCCGTCACTCTCTCCGCCCACGGGGGCGGGTCCTCCGGGCCTTCCGTGCTGTGACGTCGGGAAAGGCGAGGTCGACCGGTCAGTGTGAGGCCGTTGAACTCAGCGGTCAGGCGTTCGATCCCCAGCCTCCCCTCGGCGGGTGGGACTGGTTGAGGTGGAGCTACTAGGCCCCAGGGCTCGGAGTTGAGCCTTTTAAGGGGCTTTGGGGGGTGACGGGGTGGTTTGGGCAGAGGATCAGAAGGGGTGGGGTCATCGGGGGGCTTTGGAAGAGGAAATTCAAATACGTCCCGCTTCTCCTCTTCCTCTTGGGCTCGAGGTGATAGCAACCCCCGCCCTCCTCCTGCAGTTTGCAGTTGGATTTCCGAAGGCGAGGTGCAGGCCCCTGGGCTCGGGGGGACGGGGGCAGGTTCCTCTACCCCCGGAGACGGTGGAGAATTGAGATACTGTCGGGTCTTCTTGGTGCCGGAGGGCGAGGTGTCGGTGGTGATGATGATGACCTCCGTGCCCTTGGCTTTGCAGGCATCCAGTAAAGTGGCAAGGGTCTCGCGGTCCCCGCGGTCCAGGGCGTGAACAAGCGCCGAGGCTCCCGCGTGATCTCGGACGGACGGGTCTGCGCCGTGGGCCAGGAGCAGCGAGGCCACCGCGGCGCCCCCACCCCCGGCGCAAGCGTGCATGAGCGCTGTGCGCCCCAGGCGGTCTGCGATGTTGGGGTCTGCGCCTTGCTCCAGGAGGTAGCGTACCATGCGCGCCTTGTTCTGAGGGTCGTCGTAGCGGGCCCGACAGGCCGCCATTAGCGCAGTCTCCCCTTGGGCATCACCCTCATTCACGTAGGCGCCACCCTCCAGAAGCAAACGGGCCAAGCGAAGCTTACCCTGACCCACGGCCCGAAGAAGAGCGTGGCCCTCGGTGTGCAGCATAGCTGCGGCTGGGCCCGAGGCACCGTTGGAGCCGGGAATGGGACCTGCTGAGGATGGCTAGGGGCGTGGGAGTGGTGGGTAGAAGAGGCCTGAGGGCTCAGTGGCAAAGCCGATCCCTGTGAGAAAGAAAGAGACCTTATGGATGGATACAGACAGAGAAACTGAGGCACAGATAGAGGGACTGGGCATGAGGCGAAGGCGTTCTCCCCAGCTCATAGACTTTCCTAACTCATGCCTCTGAGCCGCCCCTTCCCCCTCAATGCATGCCAGAGGAGGTGGGAAGGGTGCACCCGCACCGAAGGACGAGCGCGCGTGCGAATACGTACGTGCACGCGCGGGGATATCCGAACCCCACCTTCACCCCACGGCTTATCAGACCTTTGCAGCACCCCTTTTTATCATCTGCAGTTGGAATACCCCTTCTCGGATGCTGAACGCCACCCATCCATACACATGCACCCATACCTTCACACACACATTCTCATTCTGGCTCTCTTTCAGGTTGCCACAGCCTCAGATATAGGGGGAGGGGGAAAGGAAGCAGCTTGAGCTTAGGATCTAAAGCGGGTGGGTGAGAATTGGGGGCTTCTTTTGCCCCTGCTGATATGTTCCCCATCACTCCTTGGTCTTTTCCTACCCAGCCTATGCGTCCAAATAGATACCTGGATATCCGCAGAACCTCCGCCGGGCCAGGATTGAGGCCGGGGCCGCTGGGCAGCCGGGGTGGGGGAGCTGGGTTCCCAGGGACCCACATGGCGTGGGGGGGCACCCGGATCTCCTTGGTGTCAGTATCTGCGCCCCGGCGCCGGATTCTTATCCCTCCTCCCGGTGCGCCCCGGGCACAGCGCCGACTCCGGAGGAGAGAGGCTGGGGGGGGGGGCGGGCGGAGCTCTGCCATGCTATTTATAGCCGCGTCTCTGCGGGTGGGGGCGTCCGGCACCAAGCCGCTCCCCCCCATCCTTATACACATTAAACCCCTAAAACCGAGAGCTTCCAATTCTGACTTCCCTTTCCCAGGCGACCTCCCCTCAGCCCCAACAAACCTAAGTGTTCCTTAGGAGAACTCCTCCGCGAACCCAGACCTGGACCAGCCGAATTTCTTGCTGAGCTCCAGCAGATCCCCATTTTCGGCGCTTCGTGTGTTTGTGTGCGCCTGTGCGACAGACCTGACCTGCCACACACAGCACATGGCATACTGTGCAGAGGGGTGGAGAGAACCGGCATCCATAGTGTGCCCAGAGATCTGGCTGCCTTCTGGTAGTTAAATGTCAGAATGCATTGGTCCAGTAAGGAGTCTGACACAGCCTTACAACTTCGCTCGATGTCCCCCTAGATGGAACACTCATTGCAGACAAGCTTGGATCTCAGTTCTCTTGCATATAGTTCTCTTAGTAGGGGAAGGGTGGCTATCCTGGGTCGTTTTTAGATACAGCAAACAGCATTTCCAAATGCCTCTTCCTCTATATCTTTGGTGATAGTAGAAGGTGGGGGAAATACAAAAGAGGCAAGAAAAAGAGCTAATGTTGGTTCTCTTGTATCTCATTGGTCTTGCTTAGAATCATTATTTTATCATCTTGCTTGAAGGTCTCTGTCCCAGTCACTCCTTATCTGTCTTCACTCTTCCTATTTGTTGCTATGGGTCTCTCTCACTGTCTATGCCTCTCTTTACCACCTGCCCTGTTTCTATGGTTACCATAGCTTCCATCTGCACACTTTAGAAATGAGTTTATGTCCAGCTGGGATGCGCCAGGGGAAGTGAGGGATGAGGAAAATATCCTAAAGATTAGCAAAGCTTATTTGGGGTCCTGTGTTAAATCAGGATCTGGAGACCTTAAGATACAAGATACTAAAAAGAGTGTATTTGATACACTATAAAACATATTAAAAAGAGTATATTTCACTAACGGGGTGAATTTATGTAAACTTAATCTTAACCAAACACCTTGAGGTAATATGTTGCTGGCCCTATAACCTCAGAACTAGTCTTGAAAATGCCAGGTCTATAAAGACAATGTTCTATCCTACTCTGGTGAGTAGCAACCAGGGTTAAAAACACAGGTTAAAAACTTGTGATTGGCCATCTAAGATGCATCTATTGGTCTTTTCCTATCCAGAACAATGATGAGTGAAGTAAATCAAAGATGTCAGAAATAATTAGCCCAAAGGACTAAAGATTATTTGAATCTCAACCTCTACTACCCTGAGACCAGAAGAACTAGATGGTGCCTTACTACCACTGCTGATCACTCTATAAGGGATCACAATAGAGGATTCTGAGGAAAATGTGGACCAAAACTCAAAATAATAAAAATAGCTAGGTTTACTGGTTTGATAGATTGGTGGAATTCACATGACTATGGCTCTTAGTCACTCTGTGAGCTTGAAACTAAACTCACCCCTGTAGCTTAATTTCTAGACAAACAATAAACATTCATATATTGTTGAATCAGAACCAACTCATTTCTAACCCTCCAGCAATTTCCAAAGCCATTACTCACTTGGGAGGTTTCCCATCTTTCTCTCTTGGAGCTGCTGGTGGATTCGAACTGACACTGTAGTGTCGCCTTTGGGTACGGTACAACTGTATATGGAATAGACCACCAGAGCAAATAGGCAGATCTGTAAGGTCAAAGTGAGCTCTGGTGGCCAAGTGGTGAAAAGTTACACTACAATCCCAAAGCAAACTGCAGCAGGTGAAAAGAAGGTGGAAGGAATACACTGAGTCACTGTACCAAAAGACTGGCTGACACAGAACATTTCAAGAAGTAGTTTATGATCAAGAACCAATGATGATGAAGGAAGAAGTTCAAGCTGCACTGAAGGATATGGCAGAAAACAGGACCCCAGGAATTGATGCGATACCGAATGACATGTTTCAACAAACAGAGGCAGCCCTAAATGTGCTCATCAGTTTAAGCCAAGAAATTGAAGACAGCTACCTGGCAAGGAGTTCAACTACATGATACGCAGTTCAAGGCCACCCGCTGCACTGCAGGAGAAGGACGGACAAATCTGCCCCATAAAATTATATGAAAAGGTGATCCAACAGAATGTGAAATTAGTAAAATATATCCCTAATGTCACATGCAAGTAAAATCTTGCTGAAGATTATTCAAAAAAGTCTAGAACAATAGTACATTGACAGAGGACCACCAACAATTTAAGCTGCATTGTAAAATGGTCACAGCACTAGGATACCATTGCAGATAGTATGTCAGATAGATCTTGATTAAAAATAGATAGTACCGGAAGGACATCTACTTCTATTTTATAGACTAAGCAAAGGTATTAGACTGTGTAGATTATAACAAATTGTGGCTAACATTGAGAAGAATGAGAATCCAAGAACACTTAATTGTGCTCATACGAAATATATACAAAGACCAAGAAGTTTTTGTCTGAACAGAGCAAGGGAACACTGCATGGTTTAAAATCAAGAAAGGTGTGTATCAGGGCTGTGTCCTTTCTCCATACCTGTTCAATTTCTTTGTTGAAAAAAGTAACTAGAGAAGCTGGGCTTTATGAGTAACAATGTGGCATCAGGATTGGAGAAAGACTCATCAACATCTTGGCTGAAGAAGATCATGGAGTACAGCTTTCACTACTGATTACATCTCAACATTAAGAAAACCATTTTCCAAGGGCAAATAGACAATATAATGATAGGTGGAGAAAAGGTTGAAGTTGTCAATTATTTCTTTTTCCTTGAATTCACTATCAACACTCATGGTACTAGCAGCCAAGAAATCAAAAGACGTGTTCCATTGGGTAAATCTGCTGTCAAGGACCTCTCCAAGGTGTTAAGGAACAATGATGTCTGTTTAAAGACTAAGAAGCATCTGATTCAAGCCATAGTTTTTCAATTACTTGTTATGCATCTGAAAGTTGGACAATGAATAAGGGTGACAGAAGACTCAATGCCTTTGAGTTATGATACTGGAGAAGAGTACTGAATATTTCATGGGCTGCCAAAGGAATAAAACAAATGTGTCTTGGAGAAAGTGCAGCCAGGGTACTTCTTGGAGGTAATGATGGTGAAGCTTTGTCTCACATAATTAGGGAATGTTGTTAGGAAGGGCAGGTCTTTGGAAAAGGACATCATTCTTGGAAACATGGAGGGTCAGTGAAAGAGAAGACCATCAGTGACATGGATTGACATAGTAACTGTAACAGTGGGATCAAGTGTAACAGAGACACAGAATAGGGCAGAGTTCAAATCCATTATTCACAGAGTTGCTATTTGTTGTAATCGACTATATAGTCCTTAAGAAAAACAACAGGAAGAGTGCAAACGGTCATTGCAAAGACAGAAGAGGAAGCAAAGACCAAAATGGATGTCAGAAGAAACTCTGAAAATTGCACTGGAGTGCAGAGAAGCCAAAGCACAAGGAAGAATTCAAGATACTAAAGAGTTGAATAGAAGATTTCAAAAGGCAGCACGGGATGACAAAGCAAAATATTACAATGA